AGCCACTGCTGCCATTAGTATGCATCAGCTCTAGGGTGCTTTATCATTCCTGTCAAAGCCACAGACTCGCAGCTTCCATTATTAACTTAGCTGTGTTGGGGGGCCGGAGCCAGGCTCTAACATACGCCCTTAGTAAGAGAGAACTGCAGAAGGTGCCTACTCCCCCCCGACCCCACAATGTGCTCCAGCAGCCACTGGGAGACTTGCCTCAGAACAGTCTTATTGCATTCGTTCAGAGCATGTTAAATAAGAACACTTGATTTCATGGAGTTTATCAAATTTTCAGCAGAAATTCTTGGGAAGAAACCTTTTCTTTCCACCCCCCATAATATTTTCTCCTTCCTCTCCCTGCCCTGGTACTGCCACACACTGAGCTCTTTCAATACATTTATTTTCCCATGTACAGGGGGGAATTATCAAAGCCAGAGGGGAACCCTCCATCACAATGCTGATCTGTCATTGGCTGGGGGAGGAAAAACCCTGTCCTGAAAGTTATTAGCATGTATTTGTTAATGGCATTGAAGGATATAATATATCCAAGTGCTGATTGCCCTGAGCAGCTTATACCACTTGCAGTTTGTCCATCTGAGTTCAAAGAACTAGTTGGAATACCTTAGAAAATGAAGTATAAACATGAACAATTGTGGAGACTTTTACAAAATCTGCTCCCTGTTGTCTTGGGGCGTCCGGTTCTGTATTTTAAAATGTGCAGTGAGCTCCAGCCGATGGGCACCTCCCCGCCCAGAGTGAGCACGCTCATGGGCATTCAGTCCCAGGGCGGGCACATGGTCCTCAGACCGCTAAGGCTCATTGTCAGTATCACCCCCTCTCTAATGCGGGTTCCAGCCATCTCCCCTTGTCTCCAGCGGCACATCAGTAGCAAGTCTCTTCTCCTAATTGATCATCTCTGACATTTCCTATGCAGCTTGATACATGACAAACTTCCTGTCCTAGGTCAGCTGTACTCCCTGGGAGGAGAGCAAGGCGTGTGGTGTGTGTCACAGCCGCTCCTTTGCAGCACTGGTGGCTGGCTTGCTTTCCTAAGAAGGGTGATGCTCCTCTCAGGAGTAGATGTGTGATGCTACAGAGGCCACTGGAATAAGCAAAATCTCTTGAACCACATGGGACCACAGGCAGGCACATGGCATGTGCCTTTTGGTTGCTGAGAAACACCCACTGGCTCTACTAAATGCTGCTGTATTTTATTGCCCTGCTGGATAGACCTGGGTTGTGAAGCACTGTTAAAGAGCTCCGTGGTACCTTAGAGGTGGTTGCATTTTAGTAGCCACCTTGGTGTACATTTTTCAGACTTAGCAACGTATGTTTATCCCTGTAGTAAGTGAGCATGTATGTAACCTCACAACACTCATGTGACTTAGGCAGATACTATTATCCCCATTTTATAGTAAAGGGAAACTGAGGCATGGAGACATTAAGAACCAGATTTATCTAAATAAGGGGCCAGACTTTCAGCGAGTGATCAGTGCCTTGCCATTCTCCCTGTAATACCGATGGGCAGATTTCCCAACATCCCCCCTGCACAGCCTGTGTTGAGTTTGCACAGCACTTTGGGAGCTTGCAGACCGGAGGGAGCAGCAGAAACAGTCTCATGAACAAATCAGTCACTCTCCTTCTCCTAGTTTGCTTTTCTTCCTTTCAATTCAGCCTGTTTCTTACAGGCAAGGACAGACCCCTCCCACCTCTCTCTACACTAAAACCACCTCTAGCCCCACAGGTGAAATCTTCTTTCATCCTCCACTATGATACTCCCAACACCGGCCCTCAGGGAACACCCCTCCCAGCCCAGCCTAATCCTGGGCTAAGGGAAGATTTCAACTCAAGTAGTATCAGGTGCTTCTCATTAGCCCTATGCTGTGGTGCCCCTTTAAAAGATTTGCAGTCAGCCCCAGCAGGCCCTTAGGGAATAGCACTTCCTGGAGAGGGAGTGGGGAAGGGGGGAAACCTGCGGTTACAGTCAGGTGCCTGACCAGGGCAGTGAAGAATGAAAGGTTCTCAGTTCTTCTTCTTCTGTTTTGTTCTTTTGCTCAGAGAGCTAGAGTGAGTCCCCCTGGAATGAATTAAAAAAGGACTGAAAAAGCACCAGTGATTCTCTTTCTAGTTTTCATTTTCAAGAATAAAAGCCAAAATTAGGGCCTTTTAAATGGGAACAAAAAATTCCCCCGGGGATGGGAACCCTTTGCATTACCCCCAGCCTAGGCTTCCTAGACTACTCTTAAGTTGCAGGAGTAAGCCAGCCCCTTAACGTTCCACCAGCATCAGCGGCACTGTCCTGTCCCTTCTGGGGGCCGTGTGCTCAGGCTTGTTCAGTCTGTGCACAGAGATTTCATACTGAGAAACCTCTCCAGCCCCCCTCTCAGTTTGATAATTCAGTTTGACCTTTTGTAGCACCTCAAACCTTAAAGAGACCGTTCTATCCAGACTGCACTCAGAGAGGTACTTAACGCTAGGGATTCAATACACTTCAGCAGAGTGGGGGGAAAAGCAGCCCTGTCCAAATATGACCAGGAGCTGTGTGGAGTTTTATTCCTCTGCAAACGTATGCTAGGTGCCACTTGGCTAACCTCTCCAGAAATGTCTCACTGAGATGGCCCCTCTGTAAAAGCCTTATTTAGTATGGCGGCGGTTGTTTTACAGGAGTATGGATAATTATCCTAATGCGAGGCTAATCCATCAAAAGCAGCACTGTGTAGTGTGCTCTGCCTTTTCTAATTATGACATTAATAAGTCACTAATAAAGTGTAAATGTCCTTCAGGAGACCTTCACTGGGGTGCTAATTAAAAGGAACCCTTTCAGCCCTGAGCAGCGAGCTGGTGACCGGGCTAGCAGAGTCTGGGTCCTTGGCTTGGTCCTTTTGCCTTGGACAGATGGAGGGAGGAAGTGCAAAGGAAGCATCTTGAAGGGGAAAAGGGAACCGAGGGCTAGGGCAGCTCACTCAGGGACAGTGCAAAGCTCAGGGGAGATGTCCTAGGTGATCACATAGGAACTTCCTCTCCTCTTCCCAGCCACCCCCGAGCCACGCATCTCTTGTGTGTTTTTGGACCCTGGGATGGCAGAATTGTGTCTGAACAAGACCGGGAGGCTTAGCCTAAGCAAACCATTAGTTAAAGGAGCAAGCTTGGTGGGTCAAAGAACCAAAGCTGCCTCTGCAAACTTATTGGAGCTGCTTTGGTCTGGGACCCAGGCTCCTGCACTGACAGTTTTGGCTCTTCCTGGTTCCTGGCCTGGCTGGGGTGAGGCAGCGCCCAGATGGATTGAAACAAAATGGTCACTTGGGGTTTTGTATCTCGCCAAGGCTCAGTGTTTCAGTCGAGTTTTTCCTGCAGCCCTGCTTATCCCGCCTCTTCCCACCTGTCCCCACTAGCCGCCTCTGCTCTACATGCACCTCACTGTGGTCTGTGATGCTAGCAGGGCTTTGACTAGGGGTGCAAGTCTCCAGACTTTAGGAGTGAGATTCATTATCTCCCAGCTCCAGAGGGACCAATGTGCATAGAGCTGCCCCCATCTTTACAATCAGGGGACTAAATGTGTGCGTCTGTCATTTCCACAGATATTGGTTACAGTAACTCAAACGGCTGCTGTTCATTGGCAGGAAACTTCCATGCCTCCTTGGTGGCCTCCTTTCCGCTGATTGCTCCTGTAGTTTCATTTCAGGTCATTCGTCTCCAGCAGAGCATTTCTGAGGTGGGATATTGATCTCATTCTCCAGTCAAGAAACTCACCAAGTGCTAACACACATCCAGGTTTTTTTTCCTTTGGAGCCAGTGGGAATAGCCAGATCCCTTTTAGAAATGAAAATATACCTTCAGCTCTGTCACTAACAGACTTGCAATAAGTATGACTGACTGGCATCTCCATGCAAGATGCTTTTTAATGAGTGAGGGTTTTCTCAGAAATTCCCTTCATTGATCTCATCTGCCACACTTGAAAAACCTCTTACCCAAGGCTAGCTGGGACTGAGCTGCCCCTTGTGCACAAACATTTGGACCCAATGAGATGAAATTGTCCTCACCACTGTGGCTCTGACAGGAGCAGAGATCTTTGACTGGCATGCTTGGGTCAGGCTCTCAGTTTGGATAAGAGAAAAGAGACCAGTGAGCAATGAGCACCCAGAACTGCCACTGACTTGAGGGGAAGCTTCTCAGATGCTATAGTGCTGGGCGGCAGAATAAAACCCTAAGATAATATAGAGTCGGGGGTGCAGGAGGCACTCTGCACCTCCTTGGATTTAAGTGACCAGGCCACCATCCCTCACCCAGTAAAGATGACTCAACAGAGGGGGCCTCTGACCAGCACATTCAAAACATTCCCCAAGTACCTGCATGACTTCCATGTATCCTGAACGGTGAGGAACATCCAGTTACCAAAGCCAATGAATTTCAGCTCACTAGGACAGCCAGAGCACACCCATGTTTTGCAGGGGGCTTCCATGAGACCCCCAAGCTTTGCTGGAGAGAACAAATAGATTTTGGATTCCATTTGCCTTAATAGAGGATGGCACCAATGTAGAAAATCTCCTCCAGTTTTACATGCAAATACTCAGCAAAACTGAGGGGTTTCACACAACTCTAGAAAAGTCCATTGGTTTAAAGCAGTGTTTCCCAAACTTGGGACACCACTTGTTCAGGGAAAGCCCCTGGCTGGCCGGGCCAGTTTGTTTACCTGCCGCGGTTCACTGCTCCAGGCCAATGGGAGCTGCTGGAAGCGGCGGCCAGTACGTCCCTCGGCCCACTTGGTTCTGCAGGCGCTGTGGCAGAGGTGAGCCTTTCAGAAGGATTTGTAGGAGGCAGCGGTAGTGGCTGGCTTGAATTTGATCAGGGAATTTTCCCCGCTGTATATGAGGTAGTGTGGGAGGGAGGGCGGAGGCATTTAAGGGAGAAGCTGACTGGTGGGGTGGATAGAAAAGAGGACCAAGAAAATGGCCTGGAGGAAAAAGCAGAGATGAAACAATGAGAGAGAGAGAGAGAAAATACAGCCATGATTTTAAGGTTAATAAATTTTATTTGGGCAGAGAAGCGGGGGCTCACCGCAGGATTTTGTCTCCAACCGTTGAAAGGCCATTGCAGACTCATGGGGCTGGCAGATCTATCCCTTGGCTTTCAACCCTCTGCAGAAGGTGCAGCGGAGCTAGCAGAACAACGTGTTCTATTCCTCTGGTGTTCAAGCATGTTAGTGCGAGACTCTGGCTTGCTAGCGCTCGCTCTCCGTTCAAACAAGCGCATCTTGCTGCTAAGAAAAGGGATTCAGGGATGGATAAAGCAACCTCCCCTCCTGCTATGAGATCTTGGACAACATGAATAAGAATAGGATGACCATATTTCCCAAAGGGAAAATGGGACACTGCGTGGGGCTGGCCAAAGCCCCTGGCAAGACTATCGTTGATCACTGGAACCATGCCGGCCCTCCCACCGGAGCCCTGCCTACCCCTTGCACGGGGCTGGCATCTCCGCTCACCCCCCTGCACATTCCTTCGCACCGCACCCCACTTTTTTGACAAAAGTGAGCATTTGTCCCGTTTGCTCTTGCCAGCCGATCAAGTTGGCAAGAGCAAATGGGACAAATGCCCACTTTTGCCAAAAAAGTCGGGACGGCTGGGACAGGGCTTAAAAAAGGGACTGTCCTGGCCAAAACAGGATATCTGCTCATCCTAAATAAGAAGCTAGAGAGGAGACAGAGCAGCATGAGCACCTAGATACACGTTTCACCCACCCACTCAGCCGACACAATAATAGAGGTATTAGGGATGTGTGCAGCAAGCCCCAGTTCCAAGCAGCAGCAGCTCATTAGATATTCTTTGGCATGAGTGGAAAGATTAATGACTAGACACGTCTGAAATGGACAGTGAAAACACCGATTCATTGCAGATATCTATTTTTTAGAATTTAGCAAGGATTAAACCGATTCATCAAGCTTGCGCATTGAGACCCAGCTAAAAGGTAGTCCCTGTGTTCAGCACTCAGGCGCTCTATGATGGTCAGTTCTGTACAGAAATGCCTAAGCCAGAGATGCGCAGAGTTCATGCTACGTCCCCGTGCTCTTTGTCCCATATGCTGACTTGGATGGATCTGGGGGGGCTCAGCATCAGGCCCTATATACGCATCCACTGTTTACCATGCACAGCCTCTGGATGAATCCTAGTGATTTTTTTAAGCTAATGGGGGTGGGGGTTGAAATGAAGGTGATAGTGTTAAAGTACTAGGTAGCTGCATTTACCTAAAGAAGCCATTAAATATTTAGGGCCCAAACCTTCTCGTTTAGAGAAGATATAAGGTAGGATCATACCAATCATTCTCTACCCTGCAAGTATATGCTCACGCCCTGATTTAAATTAGAAACGGTGTCAAAATTCATGGCAGGGTTCAAAAGTAGCATCTCGCTGTCATGGGTTGTGATGCCCCCGGTGAGGGCAGGAGGCAGCAAATGGCAAAGGGCTGTCATGTCATTTCCCTGAAGGAATACAAGAGGTTACATTGCATCACATCGAAATTTAGCAAACATAAGGCAGATAAAACCAAGCCACTTTGCAATGGGACAGTAGCCTAGGTTCACTCTTTGGTTATGTTTTAAAGCCAGTTAGAACAAGCTTGGAGACAGAGAAATGCTGGGAGTAAAAGGGGGTCATTGCTCCAAAAGGATGATTTTCATGTGCAGGTCGGTAGAGAAATCGGTCCTTTATTTACACCCAGAAAGAAGGGAATCCAGAGTCTCCCCAGAGTGCTCGGAACTGAGCAGTAACACTCCATCTGGCTGCGCTTTCCATCCCATCGGGTTGAAGTGCGGCTGCTTGGAGAGTCTCTGTGCTGACTCTCACGGGTGGCTCCGTAGAGAGCGGGCTCCTGGTGCCGTGTGAACGCGAGGCTGCCTATCCACAGGCAGTACTTATCTGCCCTGGGGAATTTCTGCTAGAGGCGCACACACATGTAGAGCTGAAGAATTGATAACTGTGGTCAAGAGGGGAAGTCAAGAGGTGCTAGACCAGCACCCTCCCATCCCCCCTTGCTGATGCTTTCACACTGCACAGGCTCATCAGCGTACGTGGAACCTCAATGATCCTGTTGCAAAACGCTTAATCTCCAGGTCTTTTCTCCTCCTGAGGACGGACTCTCATTTTTTCTGACGGTATCCCATGCTTCCTGGGCGGGGACAGAGCTAGGGGAAATAGAGACAGATCAGAAAACTTCCCTGGCCGTAAGATCACTTCGCCATAAAAGGAATGCCCAAGGGAAGGGGTGGAGTCCCCATTGCTGAAGTTACCCAGACTTTGGCCAGACACTGCCTTCAGGAAGGCTCCAATAGAGAACTATCTTGCCCTCCCCTCTCCATCTACTGTGAGAGACAAAGGGCTCTCTTGATTTGTTAATGGCTGTGTCACTGCCTGGTGAATCTGCTGCAGGACAGTGCAGAAGGTCATAAATATCACAGCTCCCTGCAGGAAGGTTGGAGGTGTCACACAGTATCCTGGGAGAAGCTTACAAAAGAGGGAGTATAGAGACCAGAGAGAAGTTATCTGCAGCATGTGGGGGTTGAAGTCAGCTTGGGGCAAGGTGTGTTGGGGGAAGGGAGAGGAAATGGCTGCAGATGTGCTCCAGTAATGAGCTCTGAGGTGGCACATTTGTCCCAGGGTCCTTCCAAGACACCTTTGTTGGTGTGCAGGCTAGCAGTTGGAGGAGGTGAGGTCAGTGGGATAGAGGAGGGGAAGAGAAATGCTGAAGGGCTGCATGATTTATCTCGGAACTCCTCTAGTACTAGGTATGGCAAGGGCATGCGCAACTCTCTGTGGCACCGTCTGAGGTGGAGTTATTGTAAATAAAAATAAATAAGTAATAAATAATTTTCCCCATCAGTTGAAAATCAAGGTCATCTGTGCTGACAGATGTTTGTAATCTCCGAGGAAAGTGCTCTGCTCCCGCATCCAGGTATCATTGCTCTCCGGGATGCTGAGATTATTTTCTAGGAACCTTTGCTGCCGGGCTCCCTGAGCTGTGACGGTGCCCTCTGCCTCAGGAAGCCTGTGTTCTTGTGATATGTCCTCTGTAATCACAGGTCACGGCACGACCTACTTCCCTCCAAGATGGAAAAAGAGCTCTCTTCCTTTTCACCATGGCAGCATCACAAACCCTTATCTGTAAGCTGAAGAGCAGCGCTTTGTAAACCTGACCTGAAGTCCCCGCATGGAGAATACTATGATGAGAGAGACATTTCAGTCTTTAGTTAGCTGAGCCACTGCATGGGCTATATTTAAATTGAAAATGACTGAGCTGCCTTGGGTCATGCATTGGCAAGAGCTTGCTTCAACCTGCACACAGCCCCAAAGACTTTGTCCATCAGCACAATCGCAAGAAGTTTGGGTGGATCGATGTACAGCAATTCTATATCTGCTGTACCAGGGACCGGAGTGATCTCAGACACAGAGACACCCCTTGCACACCACTGGTATTCCATGTGGTTTATTCCTTAGCAGATTTTTATTTGCTGTTGTTTTTTAATGGCACTGGGGAGGAGCTCAAACTGAGCGTACGCTAAACTTAAATATCTGTGTCTCTGGAGATGTGGACTGAACTATGAAGAAATCAATGGTCCCATCCAGTTGGGGGCACGCTCAAGTTTGTTCCGCTAAGGAGAAGGCCCCAGCTTTAAAATCCCGACTTGGTCTATCGACCCCAATCCCGCACCATGCTGGGGAGTTAAGGAGATAAATGCTGCAAATATGAAAACTGATGGGGCTAAACTGAGATGATGCTGTCAAGAAAAGGCAGGTGACAGGAGATTAGGGAAGAGGCAGATCTGGTTATTCAGCAGCACATGTGAAATGGCCTAACTGACTTCAGCCCCGTTCTTTGTCCCCATCAAAGAAAGCCCCTTCCACCACCCCTGCCACACGTCAGTGCTAGAGCTGGGTGGATTTTCCCAGATGGAGAGTTTATTCACCGACACGCCGTTTTAGTCGGCCCAAAGCTATTTGTAAATTTGGCACCGATGGCTTTGGCCATTCACAGACCACTTGGGCAGGCGGAAGAGGTGGTGCCAGTGCCTCCATTGCCCACCTTTAGCCCAGTTTCGGGCACTCAGCTGGGCTGTGGGAGTCCCAGATTCAAACCCCCGCTCTGAAACAAACCCCAACAAACTTTTTCAATGCACCAAAAATTCCAAAAGATTTCAGCTTTGGTTCCACCCAAACTGAATTTTTTTTTTTCAATTGTTCGGAACTGCCACCAAAAGACAAAATCAGTTATTTGTCTAGCTCCAATCCGCACCCCCTAATTGTCAGCCTCAGTGGAGATACAGAGGAAAAAATGGGCCATGGCGCCTGGATTCCCCTCTCACCCCTGCAGGTCAGGGCTGAGCCATGTTGGCAGAGAGGAGAGCTCCTCACTGGGGATAAATAGAGGTGTCCACCTGCAGAGCCACCAGCCCCACACTTCCAAGCCATTGAACGGAGATGGGGACAGAACAGGCCCAGTCAACAGCACTGTTCTTTGGAGCCAGGTTCCTTCGGGGCTGGCTGAGAAGGTCAAAGCTGATTTGCTTGTATCAGTTGCTGTTTACCCGCTGGTACCTGGAAAGTGTTCCTTAATAAACCTCTCTTGATGTACAACTGTCTGGAGCTTAATAAACTCCACAATTAGTGATAGCTCAGGCTCCCCGTACTGTTTATGTAACTCATCTCCAGATGCAGCTGCTCTGCGAGACATTCCTTCACCTGTGATTAAATAGCAGCACAGAGAGAATTGGAAATCCCATGTTTTGCATTATTTAGTGATACAACTGTTGGAAAGGCCAGCTGCAAACGTAAATCTTGGGGATAACAGCTCAAGGACAGTTTAGCGAAACAACCAATGGGTTAATTAGGAATGTTATGAGCTTTCCAAAACACCCAGGGGAACCCTGTTGGATGGGCTGCTCATTCCAAAACATCTGGGGCTTGTTAACAGCATTCTGCTCCATTTAGTTGCCATCCTTTTCGGGAGCCAGTACCTGGAAAGCTTGGAGCGGAAGATAATGACCCGCCAGTAGCTTGCAAGGTATCGAATTATGCACATTAACTGCTACCTACTTCCCTTAATGGAGAGGAGTACTTGGGATTTTATAGAGTCATCTCCCTGCCACCCCAGCTTTCTCACAATCAGCTAGTCGTAACCAGACACCACATATTTCACTCCCAAATCTAGCAGGGGAAAGAAAGAGTGCAGAATGTACTCTAGCTGCCCGGGGCCATAGGTTCTCCGGCATGCTGAACTCTATTGCAGTAGAATCCATTGGGTGTCCTAATTATCCACCCTGATTAAGAGTTTGTCCCAATTAAGAGAAGAGGCCATTAAAGAGAAATTGCCTGAAAAGACTAAAAAAGGACATAAAATCATGTGTTGAATGACTCATGGAACAAACAATGTTACTTGGGGCATTTCATCTGCCTTTGATCTTTATCTTCTCCTAGTATATGGGCTTGGCGATTTCTGTTATTAGCAGGCCAGAACTTGGAATCTCATCCCTGTTTAACACATGATTAAGCACTATGCAGTCACCTTGCACCCGCCCATTGTGACCCCATTAGCTGACATTTATGCTAATACTGTCCCAATTAAGCAGTCATCCGTAATTGTCATGAGGCTACATCCGTTCCCTGGACGATGTCCTAATAAAGCAGCCGTCCCAGTTAAGCAAGTCCCCATAAAGTGGAGTGAACTGTATTGTGTTTATATAGCACCGGGCTGGGCCTGGCCTCGATTGGTGCTGGGCGCCTTCTGCTGATGAGGTGAGGACAGTCACAGCTTATTTCACCCATTGCTGAAATGTAGCTACCTTTGGGATTCAGTTATCATTTGTATGATGATGGTGTCTAGAGGCCACATCTGACTAGGGATACCATCGTGCTGGGAGCTGCACATACACAGCAACAGTCCCTACCTGAAAGAGCAGGAGAAGGAACAAGCATAGAGTGGTGAAGTGACTTGCCCAAGGACACACAACAAGTCAGTGGCAGGTCTGGAATGGAACCCAGCACTCCTGAGTCCCGGTTCAGTGCCCTCTCTACCCGTCGCCTTCCCTCAGCAGCTAGGTAAGAACATGCAGCAACAGAACAAAATGGTGTCAGACAAAAGGTGCAGGTTGCTGAGCATATCGCTCCTGGCAAGGGGGAGTCACAGCATCACCCCAGGGATTATTTTAATTTTTCAGTTGTTTCACTAAAAAACGTGTGGGTTTTGTTTTCAGTTGTTCTCCTCACACATACGCTTTGGCTAGCTTCCCCCTTTCTCAGTTGCAAAATTGAAAATAGAAAAAAAAATAAGTGGGGTGGGAAAGAAAAGGGAAGAAACCAAAAAGAAAGAGAAAAATCATGCAAGACACTTCAAGAAACCCCAGAATAGTCCCTTTTGGAATGCTACAGAGTGAAAAACACTTTAGAATTTTTGGAAATGTTTCATGAATAATGACTAGCATTTTTCAACCCTCTCTGTAACGAATAACACTTACCCAGGAGCACAGCCTTCAAGAATGGTGTTCCTGAAAGCGGATGGAGGACTGGGGCAGCCGTCACGAGTAGCCACACAGTGCATGCACGCTCCTCCTTCATGTGGATTGCTCAGATGTCCATTGCTGGGACTAAGATCCTAGTGCAGCCTCATATAGCCACCTCCTCTCAGTTTCCTTCTCTAGCTAATGACAATTTCAGGTGAGCATGTGTGTGCTCTAAAGCACTTAGTGCGCAGTGAAGGGAAGGAAACTACATTTTAGTTCCCTCATCTCTGGTAAGGAACTTTAATCAGGTGTCCCCAGACACTCTAATTTATTTGTTCTGAGAGGAAATTAATGTCTTTGGACTTTCTCATTTTCAATCTCTTTTCAACTCCCATCTGTTTTCTTCATGGTTTGTGAGCTAAAGGGGAAAAAAGAGTCGATCTGAATTTGCCTTATTGAACGCAGTTACTATAGTTAGGCTCTTGGGATCTTAAAGAAAGGTTGCACAAGTCTCAACTGAAATCTAAACAGCTGTAGGGAATGCCCTTTAACTGTAAATGTTGAATGGAAGTCATTAATAATCTGGAGTTTCATTAGATGTTGCCAGATGTTAAATCCAATGCATGATAAGAATAATTGGAGGTCACAATCCAGTTATATAATCAACAGTTGTAGAACTTGTTTCTCCATTGGCAGTTACCAAGTGGTTTTATGGGCAGCATGATTAAAATCACTGTTCTGTGTTTTAAAAGCACTTTCCAAAAGAATGGTTCACAAAATGCACCCTCAATTATAGAAATATATACCGACCCTCCTGTGGTCCCTCGGTGTTCCAGCTATAGAATCTTTTCCCCCATGTTAAGTTCTCCTCACACCTTCTATGGGTCATCTCGATTATCACGTCAAAGGTTTTTTTTCTTCTGCTGCTGATAGCTCATCTCAATTGATTGGCCTCTTACAGTTGGTATGCGTACTTCCACCTTTTCATGTTCTCTGTATGTATAAATATCTTCTGTCTGTGTGTTCCATTCTATGCATCCGAAGAAGTGAGCTGTAGCCCACGAAAGTTTATGCTGAAATAAATTTGTTAGTCTCTAAGGTGCCACAAGTACTCCTGTACTTTTTGCGGACACAGACTAACACGGCTGTTACTTTGAAACCTAAAAGGTATGTTACACCCAAGACTCAAGTGAAAAGTTGGGATGTCAGAGTGCCTCATTTTCATGCTGTGGCCAAAAATGCTTTGCCAATTCGCAGCAGTGCTAGCGGTCTGAGTCTGAGACGTGCCATTGGAGTCACTGTGCTTTTTCACCACCCCCATCATCTGGAATGATAGCTACTCTGTTTGCAGCAGAGCCGGCTCCAGGGTTTTTGCCTCCCCAAGCGGCGCAAAAAAAAAAAAAGAAAAGAAAAAGTCGCGATCTGTGGCGGCAATTTGGCGGGAGGTCCTTCGCTCCGAGCGGGAGTGAGGGACTGTCCGCCGAATTGCCGCCAAATAGTTGGACCTGCCGCCCCTCTCCGGAGCGGCCGCCCCAAGCCCCTGCTTGGCAAGCTGATGCCTGGAGCCGGCCCTGGTTTGCAGGTAGGCCCGATAACTCCTTTCAAAATGGCTGCAAGATCATGATAATTATTTTGAAGCCCCTGTTACTGGGAGATTAATCTCAGTTACTGATCTCTTATTTCAAGCTGAGCACTTAAACGTACCAGCAGGAGTTAGACAATGATTAATTGTTTCAAAGCTTTGATTTGGAGAAGACAGAAACTTGCCAGAGTTAATTTAAAAAGTGGGATTCTTGTTTTAACAAAAGACAGATGATTCGTAATGGGGAAAACCAGACATCTCAACATTGACTCAGGAAAGAGCCCGGAAAAGCTGTTTTCCAATTAGTAGAACAACCAAATTGGGTACCAGGATGCACCGGTTCTAGTCTTGGTTCTGTCACTAGCTTGTTATGTTACTGGGGACAAGCTATTGAACTTTGCTGTTCTATAGTGTATCTGACTATAAAATGGGGATATTACCTAGTTTACAAGTGGGCTATGCAAAGTAATTAATGTTTGTGATGCTCTCTGAGATCGTTTGGTGACAGGAATTAGAGAAGGGCAAAGAATTGCTACAAAGTGCTGACAGATTTTCTTTGAAGAAGTCTCTTCAGTATAGCAGGAGCATTGGCCTGATGATGGAAAGGCCCAATAAGCAGAGATATCAGCGAGGTGGGAGGGCAACAAAAGTACCTGCAAGACCCTGGAAAAAGCAATTACACACTTTCCCCCAGGAGACTGTCATAATGCCCAGGAAAAATGTAATCAGTTCAGGTCTTGAAAGCTCAAGTTCACCTCCGATACCATCACTAACAGTGTTTTAGAAATGGAAATCATGGATCAGAATAACTCATTTTGCAGCAAGCCCTGGCCACATCTCCCTTTCCCCCAGAGGAGTCACTTGTAGAGGGGAGCAGATGTCAGTTCAACAAACCCCTTCAATGATCACTAATAAGGTAAGTCAACTGGGGATCCAGAAATCCTCTTCGCTCTGCTGTCATGTGCTTACTCCTCCAGCCATACTGCTGATGTCCGTTTCCCTGGCATGCAGTTCAGTCTCTGACCCGACAGTACCTGTGATTTGTGTTGGCCCCACCAGAAGCCACAGTCCAGATGCGGTTAATATTTACAATCATTTTGCAGTCTCTTTCGTCAGTGGCCTAATTAGAGCAGTGCATTGCAAATCCAGGCCAGTGTTTTCACTCCTATCCAATACCATCTGTACTTCGAACCTGGGGGTTAGAACTGGGACTAGAAAAGGGGCCCAAGAAAAATTCTGGATCCTGCTGGAGCTATACTGATTTACACCAGCTTAGGTTCTGGCTAATAGTATTTGAATCCGGGGCTTGGGTCAGGCCCATCTCTACGTGGGACTGGTCCTTTCATGTTGCTTAGTGGTGATTTGGTGTTCGTGAATTAGAGGCTATTGTCTTAGGGGCATAGATGCCTGCAGGAAAACTCATTAGTTTCTAATTCCCTGAACGAAATGAGCCTTCCTGGCGGAGTGGTATGAAAGAGTCCGTGAGCAGCTATTCACAGGGCTAGAGATGCACTTTTAATACATCACCTAATCCCTGTGCATTTCCAGTCCTCCTGTCTAGTCTAAGGAAATTCCCTTTTTCAGGTAGATTAAACAAAATGCAATATCCAGCCCACGTGCCGCACGCGAGCATCCCCCAGCCTCTCCCAGTTTTAATCCAAGTTAATGTATTGACTTGGTTGGAAAATAGCACAGTGCTTTTTTTAGTTACAGTAAATGACTATTTTTTAAATATGTTTGTGCAACAATCGGCTTTGGTGCTTGGTGATTTGGGAGAAAGCTTTACAGGGCTAATGTGGTCACACACACACACACACACACCCCAACCTCCATGGTCCAAGACAGAGACATCCCTGTTTGGCAGGTCACCTTTCCTGCTCGCTGGGGGGAGTCTCCCACCTGAATTTTAAGAGGTAACAATAGAAATTACCTGGTGCTAAGGAAAGAGCAAGGAGCATTAAGAAGCAGCCTGGAAAGGAGTAATAGGGACCCTCCCTTCCTCACACAACTGCCTGTGATTCTCCCTCTCACAGTAGTGAAGTAAAGGTCTGCTGGCTCGCACAGCAAAGGAAACAAGTGCTCCGAACACAGCTCAAGCCAAAGCTTTGATAGGTACGTCTACATGGGGATAAAACACCAGCGGCTGGCCCAGGTCAGCTGACTCAAGCTCCAGGGGCTCCGGCTGAAAAATGCAGGTCTGAAAAATAGCAGTGTTCAGCATTCAGGCTCAGTCCAGAGCTGAGCTCTGGGAGCCTGCGAGGGTGGAGGGTCCCAGAGCTCAGACGCCAGCCCAAGCCCGAGCGTCTGCCCAGCCCTTTGTACCACTGCAGCCCAAGCCCCTGGAACCCGAGTCCACCTCAGCCATGCCATGCAGATTTTCTCCCCGTGTAGACGTACCCCATGGTCGGAGTGTGCTGGGCATCGCGTGCGAGAAGCACTGTTTTTTCTCCTGCGTTTCCAGTCAGTGCACAGCACCGCCCACATCCCACCACTGGCAGCTGGTGCACTGTTAGTATCTCTACACTTTCCTGCGGCGGCCAACCTCAGGAGTCTGAATTTCATCTTCACCAGCCCACACGATGGGCAAAGGATCCTCTTGAGGTTCAGGTCCAGGGAGGGACGGGATGACTCAGGAGACCAGGGTTCAAGTCCCTGCTCTGCCAGTGACTCCCTGTGTGACCCTGGGCAAGTCACCTCAGCTCCCCAACCTTAGGATCAGAGTCCTTGTACCACACCATCTGTTTTCTTGTTCTTACTAAACACTTTCCTGAGAGTCAGTGGAGCATGAACTGTGGGCAGAAAGAGCGTTTGAAAGCTGAGAACTGATCTGAGGAGGGGGAAAGCAACTCGCTCTCTGAGGTGTCAACCCGAGGGAACGTGCAGATGAAAGAGAGGCTCACGCCAATTGCGGGGACATCCCAAAGGGAGGACAGAGGAGAGGGCTTCTGTCTGAGTGACGGGGTGGCACGGACACTGTGCAGAAGGGATGTCAATCTGGGATCATAAACAAAAGGAAATCGCATACCACCTGTGTGGCATGAGCAGAGCTCCCATTGTATGGACAGAAGGATAACATGTGATCAGCGGGAGGCATGTGGTTGTCGCTGGACATCTGGAATGTGGACCTAGCTCTTTCCATTTCTCCTTTTCTTCTGCAACCTCCTCTCAAGGATAGTCTGTATCTTGCAGTAATGCATTGTCATGGCAACACACACACACTTGTGTGCACACTCACAACTGCAGCCCAGGCTGTCCTTGTGAGGTAGCTGCTGGTCAGACAAGTCATGTATAAGACGCCATCTCTCTGGCAGAGTCAGACACACAATCACAAACCAACTGTTGGGTGTAGTCTTCGAGCCTGGCCCAGTGAATCACGGCATTGCATTTTCCAGGTCTTCTTTACTCCTCCATCATTGCAGCTGAAGGAGAGTTAACAGTCATTTAGATATTCAAATTGAGCTAAGGGTCTTGGTTTCTGATGGGTCATCAAGATAAGCATTAGTGCTGCTTTTGTCTTTCCCTTGGAGTTTACAGGAGGGCTGGGAATAAGCACATGGTGTCAGAGCAGGATTGGAGGAGCGATTTGAGGATGATTTGGGCAGCCAGCAGGCCCACCACAGTCCTTGTCAGGCACAAGCAGAATCAGCGACTGCGCTAGAATTAGGAGCATACAGTGGAAAATTAATGTCAGAGGAGAACCATGAATCCCTTGATAGAGCTGTAAACAGGGACTCGGAATCGGACTGGCCAGAGAGTTCGGGATAATGCTCAGCAATGTGGGGCTTCGCTTCCTAGGCATTACAGCTGGATAAAATA